AAAAAAAAAAAAAAAAGAAAGTGATATTGGATTTCTAGGACAGGCTCTGATAATCTCCTCTATCACAGATACTACAACACAGTTGTTCTCTAAACTACATATGGGGGTAGAAGAAGAAAGAGCATAAAGCACTATAATGTGAACTTAACTATTGCTTTGTTGGGCCCACTTCTTATCTATTAATTTTTTTCTCAATTTCAAAAACAATGAATACTCATTTTAGAAAAATGGAAAAATATAGAGAAAATGAGAAGAAAAGTGATTTTTGAGTGATTTACTCAAGTTCTAACTACCAAATGTAGTGTAGATGAGTAGTAGTAGGATTTGGCTGAGCTTTTTTATTACCTTTTCCTCTTCTTAATGTTCCCTACACTGCTCTAGAACAAAAAGGACAAATAATCACGTTGAAAACTAAACAAAGAAAGAGTGGACAGGAAAGTTTAAGCCAACAAAGAATATCTGCCCTGGAGCTTACCCTATAGTTCTACTGTGAAGATGGTATTATATTTATAATGTGACTAAGAGCGTGGAAAACCATGTTAAGGTGAGAATGCAAGGTGGAGACACCTTTTACATCACTGTTTTGATAAGACTTTGTGAACAGGACTCCCAGTGTGTTGTAGGATTCAATGAATGCACACTTGTCTTGCTAGAGTAGATTATGAAGCAATTTATGAGAAAGGAGTATATTTGATTTGCCATTTTATTCCCAGTGACTAGTAAAGGGAGCCACTTGAGATATATTTATGATATAAATTAAAAAATACCTTAGTATCACATGATTAGTATCTATAATTACTGTCATTCACTCACATACTTTTCTCCTCTTGCCCTTGATATTGTCACTGTAAAACGTGGCTAGGTAGTTTTATCTAGTATCTAAGTTTTCATGTGCCATAGCCATTTGCACCTTCATTCATATGGTGTTCCTTTACCATACTACTATTTTTAAAATTTATTTATTTATTTATTTATTGGTACTGGGATCGAACTCGGGTCCTTATGCTTGCGAGCCAGGTGCCGGAACCACTGAGCTAAATCCCTGGCTCTACCATATTACTATTACACAGTAATCCAATAATTAATGACAGAAGGTTTAGTTATAGAGTGAGACAATGATAACTTCAGAATCCAGTTCTGACAGAATAAGCTCTGCGATAAACTGCTTAAAAATCTAAGCTTTGGTTTCTTTATCTGTCAGAGGAATTAATAAAAACTATATTCCAGAGTACAGACAATAAAATGGGATAATCTAAGCTATAAATGCAACTTTATGCCTAATACATATTAGATACTAATTCTTCCCCATCTTCAGATACTTCTTGATATTCAGAACATACTCTGCATAGAATGTATCTAAGATAGAAAGAGAAAAGTAACTAAAAATTCTTTCATTGGATTTTTTTCCAGTAGAAGGCTGTAGTTCATTAGTAGTCCTACCACAGTTTTAAAGCGTGATAAATTTTTTTTTTCTGGTACCAGGGATCGAACCCAGGACCTAGAGCTTGCAAGGTAGGTGAAGTGCCACTGAGCTAAATCCTTGGCTAAAGCATGATAATATTAAGAAGAAGAAATATTCATGAATGCAAACTCATTTTTGTTTGATTTTTAAATTCATTAGTAATAAAAATAAGGAAAATAGTTAAGAAGGAAGAAAAAAATTCTTTTAACAAATTCAAAGAAAGAACATGGGAAATACAATATACTACTGTAATAAACATAGTATATATTCATTTACCACCCTTAGTTTTAATTTTATAAAATACTATATTATGTAATATTTAACAACTAAGAAAGAAAAGAGCTATTACTTTAATATTTTAAAAAATTAAATATTCCTAGTAAAGTGAAATGTTATTGGTAAAAAACTCCATTGACTTAATAAAATGGCTTTTATGCATAAAATACATTTTCTTGGTTAGTCCCTCTATGAATAAAAATTTTCTTAAAAAAAGTTTTCTTGATAGCATACAAGCTTCATAACAGAATATTAATTTTTTCTAAATTTTTCTACTTTTTTTTTTACTTGAAGTTTTGACATATGACAAACACTGAAAATTAACCTAAAACTTAGGAATTAAATTGAATGCTTTAAAATGAAAAACTATTATTTAAAAACGGAGAGATTGGGACTACAGCTCAGTGGTATAGCACATGATAACCATGTGTGAAGCCCTGGTTTTAATCTCCAGCACCAAGATTGACAGATAAATAGATAAGATAAAACTATTACACATCTACTTTATTAAGTGGAAAAGCTATATTTGCTTTTGGGCTTTACAGATAAGACTAAATCACAGTTATTTTAAGTATATCCTATGAGTGCAAGTTGTTACATCAAATTCTCCTTCCCTGCATGGCTGAAGTACAGCAAAATTTAAAGTATTGGATAAAAAGAAACAAATTATTTTTAAAAATCTATAAGAATATAACCCAATAGCTACAACTTAAATATTATTCCAATAAGAAGACAGGGAAACTAATAGAATCTTTACATTCCTAGACTATAAGGTGACAAATTACATATAATTTAGAGTTTATTTTAAAATTCTAAAATATTACATTATTTTTCCTGTGATGTATGTATTGTGACACTATTACACACAACCCAAAATAAGACTGAAATATTAATCAAGGAATAGGTTTTTAATTGAATTGGTGATTTTATCCACATTCATCTGACAAAAGGGAAATAAACTTTTTTCTGTTTCTACCTTTAATTTCCTTTCTGCTAAGTTTCTAATCAAGCATGATTATAATGTTTCCTAAATATTTAAAGCCTGAGGATTAAAGATGTATTTCCTTTCCAATAAAACCTCTAATATCCTAAATCTACTCTACTGAAACATAGTAAGAGCTGATAGAAAGATAGCAATAACCCCAAATACAAAGGAAAAATATTTCTCAAAAGAATCCTGCTTAGCAATCATAAACTATCATAACTACTGTGAAGTTGTCATTAGTAGGTGTAGAATCACTGAAATGTACTTACTGAGAAATGGTGTTGGTATCTAGGTCAACACAACTGACATCTGGCGGAGGATCATAGAGATCAAAGTATCTTGAGTCAATCCCCACTATGAACGGACATGGTGCACTCAAGACATCTGCTAAGGCCAGTGGGCAGAGAGGAACATATGGGCATGGCCAGTGGAAAGGGAAAATCATCTTGGATAAACAAAGGGTAGAAGAATATTTAGCTTTTTGACAATGAAGAATAATTTATCACCAAAAAACTGCACACATAAAAATTTAAATATTACTAGTCTAATGCTTGATAATGAATTAAACAATTATAACTAAAAGGTATGGAAATTAAAACTACTCAACATACAAATTCATTACTCCTTGAAATTAACATTAGAATAGTTTTAAAATTGATGTAAAGAAGAAATGAGGACACTCACAGATACTAATGCCTCTGTCACACTAGTAAGCACAGAAGGCCGTAAGGAATGGATAAGAATTTTATGTTCTGTTACCGCAAACACAAGCAGTGTCACAGCATTTTCAGGACCTAGATTCTGAAGTAGTGTTGAAAACTTGCCACCACTGTCAATCAAACAAAAATATATTATTAAGAAATAAGTATCTAGACAACTCACATCTAAAGTAACAAGATTTGAGTTCATTATTAGGGTGTGATCTATGTTATATACTTAACTTTAAATGATTACTGCCCTTATGCAGAGAAAACACAGCATCAAAAACACTTTGAAAACAATGAGGTTTCAAAATCATTCATTCCTCTAAAATCCATTTAATATAGAAAATGAAAAGTAATCTGCTTCATTTTATATAAAAATATTTGCTTGGTACATAAGGTCTAAATGAATAAAGTATCAAATTATTAAAAGGTATGCTTTAGTTGAAAGCAAATTCTTTAAGGTAAGTTTTTTGAACATGGCACATCTTCTGGTGTAATTATGAGAAAAACTGTGACTTAGAGGTCCACCTCCCTTAAGGTAAATACACATATTAAAATTTGGATTTATGAGCTAGGCATTGTGGCACACCTGAAATTCCATCTACTTGGGAGCACAAGGATTGCAAGTTCAAGGTCAGCCTGCACAATTTTGTGAGATCCTGTCTTAAAATAAAAAATAAGAAGAACTGGGGATGTAGCTCAGCATTTCCTGAGTCCAAACCTGAACACCACAAAAAAATCTGGATTTATGAACAGACAATATTACTGTAATAATAATACAGAAAATCAAGAGGTACAAACTGATGAAGTATACATACAGTGCAAATTAATAAAACAATAAACTTAGATATCTTATATGGTAACAAAATACTGGGTTGATAAAAGTAATTTAGTAAGCCAAGTAGTATTTTGCCTATAGTGCTAAATAACTGGCTTCATTTGATTAATTTTTATGATAAAGCAAAGCTAATAAAATTTTCTTAGAGAAATGAAAATCTATGTCCACAAAAAAGTTGTGTGGATTCACAGCAGCATTAATAGCAGTAGCCAAAATGTCAAAATCTCCCAATTGATGAATGGATAAATAAAATATAATGTCATAATAGAACATTAGCTAGCAATAAAAAGGAGTGAAGTAACGACACATGCTATGTCATGGATAAACCTTGGAGACATGCTAAGTGAAAGAAGGCAGGAATATGAAAGCCATGCATATCTTGATTCCATTTATATGAAGTGTCCAAAATAGGTAAATCTATACAGCAAAAAAGTAGATCAGTGGTTGCCTAGGCCTAGATAGGGGTAAGTGTGCATGCATGTATGGAAAGATGGAAAGAATGAAGGAAGTTAACTGCTGAAGTGTACAGGGTGTTTTTAGGGTAATGAAATGCTCCGAAAGTTGTAACAGTGATAGCTACAAAACTGTGAATACAGCCACTGGATTTTATACTTTAACTGAATGAATTATATGATATGTGGAATAAAGCTGTTACCTAAATGAAGTCATGGGGGTTAAGTCAGAATCAGTGTTTATAATCAATTTTCTAGTTTATTTTCAGCTCAAAGGTTAAGAAAATATTGGTCACCCTGAGCTGAGAGCTAGTGATGAAATAAGCTGCAATTCTTACAAAATTAATGTCAAAGATGGCACCTGGTCTCCCTTAGCTATGTGCTGCATAACAGCTTAATCACATTGTAACTATTTCTGTCAGAAAAATTACACAACTAATTAAATCTCAAGAAATGATACTGTAGAGAAAACAATTTCTCTGAACTTTTTTTTTTTTGGTACCAGGAATCGAACTTGAGTCCTTGTGCTTGCGAGGCAGGCACCGGAACCACTGAGCTAAATCCCTGGCCCCACTCTGAACTTTTACAATGAGGAAATACATTGCTCTGTTCTGTTTAATAATTATAACTATTTTTCCCATTTTATATTAAATTTAAAATTGTTCTCAAATGGTCTTCAGAGGATAATTAAAGCTAAAAAATTCTTTTCATAATCTACATATGTTAATTTATGTAATAGTAAGTGCTAGATGATAAGGATATACAAAATATCAAACACTACTATAAAAAGTTTTTCTTTTTTCTTCAAAAACTGTAAGTAAACATTAAGTAAAAGGAACTTAACTAAGAAATAGTTAAATGAGAAGTATTTTCATTGACATTTGAAATTTTTGCTAGGAAAGAGAATATATTTTAACGTTACTTGAGTTCACACTATATCTAAAGGAACATAAACAGAAATGAAGTTTTACTTGCCTCAGTGGAAGAGGTGAAGAAACAGGCTGACTGAGAATCAAATTATCATGTGGTGATAACTGGAAGATTTAAAATAAAGTGTTTGAAACATAAAGATGAATCTTATCTTTTACATTTAAAAAATTTATTAAGACAAATTTTAAGAATACCACTTTTTGGTAAATACATATAGATATTAATGATGTCCATGAAGTTTCCTAGTTTACCAGTATAAAAAGTTAATATAATTTCTGAAGATAATGGAAAATATATTTTGACTTCTGACCCCTCCTAATATCTTTTTACTCTAAAGTCTATTTCTTTTTTTCTGTCCTCTGATGCAATTTTAACAAATTTACATTAAAAGACTAAATTATTCATTTAATAGCATAAACTCAGGTTCAGCAAACTTACTGCCTATAGTGCAAATCCACAGGCTGCCTGTCTTTGTAAACACTTCTTACTGGAATATAGCCATGCTCATTCCTTATGTGTTATCTAGCTGATTTTGCACTGTAACAGCAGAGCTGAGCAGCTGCAAAAAAGACTTGATGATTGGGCCGGGAATTTAGCTCAGTGGCACTGTGCCTCCCTCACAAGAGCAAGGTCCTGAGTTTGACCCCCAATACCAAAAAAATTTAAAAAATTTAAAAGACTGGATGATCTGCAAAGACTAAAATATTTAGTATAAGGTCCATAACAGAAAAAGTTTGCCAGGCTTTGCTATAAAACAAATCTTCTCTATGTAATCAGAGTGTACAATATACAGTCTGGCATGAAATACCAAGAGGTAAAACAAGGATGACATATTGGATATGCAGATGACTGATTTCAAAGGTCATCAAAATGGTATTTTCTAGACATTTCATCTCTTTTAATAACAACTAATTTTATCTACATTTCCAAATTCATGCAGAATTTCACAAATTTATAAATACTTGCCAAATAAGTTCAACTATTAAATGATACTACACTAAGAGCTGCAATAAACACTGTAAAGGACATATAGTGATAATATATGAAAATATTTTCTCTATATAAATCACTTCATAAATGATTAACCAGACAACTTTTATTATCAAGGGCACAAATAAATATAAACAAAAGAGAAAAGATGCATTTAAGTGGGAAGACATGCAGAAAATAATTTATATTCATTTTAAACTTCTTCATCATATCACAGACATGGGCATTCCTTCCTTCATGCAATGTATGGAAACATACAACTTTTCCTCATGTCCATTCTAATATATTTAACTCATTAAGTAAATGCCAAAGGCATAAACTATCAAATACCTAGAACCAATTTTGTCCCTTTCTCTGAGTTCAAAATGTGTACTTCTATCTACTTTAACTTTTCAACCTTTTCTCTAAAGGAAAAACATTAGCTTTCTGGGAGAAAGTTAATAAAACATTAAGGGCCCAAACTCCCAACATAAAATAGCATCTGGTTCTCTTTAAATCTCGATCAATTTTTCCCCATTTAAAATTGTTATTCTTATGTTACATTTTGACTGATCCATTAATAATTCATATGGCAGTCATAGTAAGAAAGTCTTACCTGAACTAAAATCCGTGGTCTCTGAGGAGATGGAAAAGGAACTTTATGCATAAAATGAGAAATATGCCTTAAAAAAAACACAACAAAATCCCAAGTGATTCCAATGTGAACACCATATACTATAAAAGTTAATATATGATCAGAAATCCAAGTGAAGTCAAAAGCCCTATAAGTCCAAAATCCCTAATACTCTAAAAACAAACACCAAAAATCATTTGCCCATTAAAGTTTCATGTCTGAAAGCCTAATAACTTTGCACATTAATAGCTGCTCACATTCAATGTTTGTTATTGATCCCTCAAAAGCCATTTGAACTTTTCTCTGTCTACACAGATAATACACAACATACTATACAAGATATAATGATGTGAATATTACCCAAACAATTTATTCTTAGTCAATTGCTCATATTTTGGAAGTGATACAACACTGAAGGTTCTCTAGAAAAATAAGAATTTAAATCCTTTAAAATGATGAATAATAAACTATTAATAGGTTTAAAATACTATTACTAATTTTGTAATTTTTTCCCAGATTAAAATGGATAAAAAGCTAGATCAAGCTGGACATGGTGGTGTATTCCTGAAATCCCAACACTCTGGGAGGCTGAGGCAAGAGGTTCATAAGTTTGGGCCCCACCTAGGGAACTTAGTGAGACCCTATCTCAAAATAAAAAGGAAAAAAGGGGGGTAGGTGGGGATACAGTCCAGTACAAAGGCCCTAGGTTCAATTCCCATTTATGAAAAAAACAAAACAAAACAAAAAGTAAATCAATGGGTTTTGCTTTGAATACTAAAGAAAAGGCAACCATACTAAAAAAAAAAAAACTTTGTCTGTTTTAAGAATTAAGTTGTTCTCTTTCTGTATTATTTTTCTTTTAAACATTATTTCAAAATCATCTTGTTTTTAGACATGAGATTACTTCAACTGGATAAAGCTGGAAGAGAAATTTATTAATTTTACAAACATGTTTTAACTATTTACTATTTATAAGATATCGCTGGATATGGCAGGAAATGCAAAACAAAGGCATAAAGGTATCAGTGTCTACCATTAAGGTAGTCACAATCTGGGGAAAAAAAGGTAAGAGGAATGAATACCACAGAACACATATCTGCCTGAATTACCTGAAGTAGACAGAATAGCAGAAATCAAAGGGTGACCCACAGACCACTAAACATTTCCAAGACCCATTCAGGGAGGATCTATAAGGTCAAAACTATTTTCATTGGGCCCAGGGATTTAGCTCAGTGGTTTCACCGCAGGCTGTGCAAGCACAAGGACCTGAGTTCGATCCCCGGTACCAAAAAAAAAAAAAGAAAAAA